GCACCCTCGCCCCCCCCCCAAAAAAAAACAACAAATAAATAAATGAATAAAAAATGGATAAAAAAAAGTAAATACTCATCAAAAAAAAATAATAGTATTAAAAAAACAATAATAAATACATAAATACCCCCAACCCCCAATCATAAACGTCAATTATAATAATATAATACACAAAACTGGGCACTACGTCAAGGCCACAGCTCTTATAGTTCTCTGTAAAAACAAACTTCACCGCGTGGTTCTCGCGCAACTTTTCCCTACTTGCCCTTTAGCCTACTTCATTTGGTTTCAAATAGGGTCTTAGTATTAGGTAAGCTTCGTTATAGGTCCGTATGAATAATTTGCCGAATTGACTTATTTATAAATCATAGATTCATTACGCAATCAAGTACATGTAATCATTCACCAGCAAACATGGAAGCAATAGCGTGAAGGATGGTAGGATGGATGAATGGATGGATGGACGAATGGATGGATGGATGGATGGACGACTAATCCCGTCCTGGATCTACAACTACACGTATATATATTATGTGCGTGTATCCAGGGGCGAAGGTTGACTTGTTTGACAGGTTAATCAAAGTGAAACGGGATCAGATATGGCCTGTAGATATCACACAAGAATCTTACTCGAGGCGGCGACTCTGTGTTGTGAATGAAAACAAATCCGGAATTCATATTGTATGTTCAACCGCCAAAATAATCGGGAAAGTATCTTATTAAATATCAGTTCCAAATAAAATTAAATTTAACTTTAGATGTGAATACATAAACACAAAGCAAAGAAACAGAGGTGTCAGTACTAGATCTATATGTTATAGATCTACCAGTAAGTCTAACTCTTTGGTAGAACATGACAATTATCATTTTTTAAATTTCACATTTGGCTGTTTTTGTTAGCCTTTCGCGGCCAGGAGCTGGTGTCATAATCGAGGTCACGATCTGATTATAGGACGGTAAAAAGTCCAGGGAAAAAAAAAGCACACGCAGCAGTCAAGAGATTATTAGGAGTTAGTTCCCCTCACATTTGTGAGGTAGACTCGACCAGCTTTAGTTAGCATACATAATCAGAGCTTGAGATTGATTTTAACTGTGGCCCCAAAGGGGTGAACAGGGTATATGTGGCAATGAAACAGCTTGGACTGCTATGTACATGTTCCCTTCAACTCTATTGATAGACTCTTCCAGACTCACTTTAAGCTTACTTAATCAAAACTTGCGACTGCTTATGGAGTGGCCCGAGAGGGGTGAGGAGGCTATTTCCGTCGCCGTGAAACCGTTTTGAATGTTAGGCATACTGTTCATTGTTGGTTACGAACATATTTTTACATTTAATTTAAGAGGTTTACGTTTAAGGATGAATTTGACAGCGACAATGTTTCAAAATTAGGAAGGGAAGCAGTGATTATTTGATTATATAGACGCTTCGCCCCTGTGTGTATCATATTATACACGCCCATATATTATATACTTTTTTCCCGCTCAATCACTTTTACGCTCATTTAAAAGCACATTAATTTCTGTCTGAATTTTAATTTTATTAAAAAAAGAAATGTTGGTTAAAGGTACAGAAAAACGTATTCTGGCTTCCCAAAACTCTCAGGAGTTGGAAGTCACCTTGAGACTTTGGTGGCCACTTTCTCGCCAATTTTACCTCTGAAATTAGGCTATCCCCACCTCCTTCAATCGTAATTATCTCGAGTTCTATTCAAAGCACATGGGTACGGTATTTTTCTCATCAAAAGCAAGACAAATGAACAAGCCTTAAGATGATACCAATTACATGTACTCCTCAATCCCGAAAATTGACAAGCGCCTGATTCTATCGCGTCGTAACACATAAGTAGAGATACGCTACTGTGGTGGGAGGGTGGATTGCCTCAATTTGTGGTGTCGTTTAGACCCCCCCCCCCCAACCAACGAAAAAGAAGAAGAAAAAGAAAAGAAAAGAAATTAAAAAGAATAACACAAGTAAATCAATAAATCAATAAATATTTTTTTGAAAAGTAAATAAATAAATAAAGAAAGAAAAATAAATAAATAAATAAATAATTGTTCAATGAATAAATGAATGAACGAATAACCAAATAAATAAATAAACAGATACGGTAACTAACTAACTAAATAGATAAATAAAAATTGCAGTTGTAAAGATAACGATCGACAAATAGTAAATAGGCTACATCGCTAAAGCAACAAGTGACCATACAGGACTATTTTCGATAAATCAAGAGGACCAGCTTTCTTCATCCACCCCCTCCCCCAAAAATTCTTGAGAGGAAGGAGAAAATTTGTC